TGAAGAAAAAAGTCTACAGTAAATAAGGGCACGTTGTTTGGTGATTAAGCTGCTCCCCAAAGAAGGGGCTTTGAAAAATTTAGGGAATACAAACAGAGGACAATAAAAGAAATGTCGCACAGCCATTTTTGTGTTGTTCATCAAATTACTGGCACATTGTGTAATCTCTGAAAATATAAAAGAAAAAAAGATTGGAATTGGTATATTATTATTATTACTAAAAAACTGGTGTATATCTGAAAAGGAAGTGCTTAGTTTGGTTTATTTTGTTTTACAGCATATCAGCCTCATTGGGTTATTTAATGCCGACAAAATTTTAATTGCTGGTAATATTTTTTTTTTGCAAAAATGTATTTCTGGCAATATTTTTTTTCAAAAATGTATAGCTGGTAATAATTTTTTCCTTGAAAATTTATTGTTGGTAATAATTTCTTACAAAGTATTTCTGGTATTAAAACCTACTTTTACATTTTCATAGTCTTTTGACCCCGGTTTGGGGGCCAACTATTTGCCCATAGCTGGGACCCTAACAGGTGCTACTACACTGGGTCAAGGTGGATCTGGGAACACTAGCAATTAAGAGGTGGTTCCACACTCCTGAAAACCTCCTGATCAGAGGCCTTGCTGCTGTACGTAGTTTATTGTCTTACCCAGGATGGGGAAGGAAGTGTGTATGTGTGTGTGTGTGTGCATGCATATATACAGATACATACATGTATGGGTGGCAACTCCTTTCTGAGTTTACCTATTTGTTAGTGTGGCTAGCTAATCTTTGTCACAGACAAAGATTAGCTAGCCACCGTAACACCCACAATATCAACTAATGGTTTCTACTATATCTATAATAAGTGGGCTCTATTTATAGTTTCTGAGAGAGAGAGAGAGAGAAAGAGTGTGCATAATCTGATGTGATCAATAATCTCTGTCACGATGACTTGTGACTTTGTGCTTGCACAACCTTCAATGGCTTCCAAACAGTTCCATCTACCCAATTTCACTCACAAGGCTTGGGTCAATTCCCTGCTATGGTTTTTAAACACTTTCCAATGGTACTGTCTACTAGGATCACCTTCCCAGGTCAATATTATCAAGAAATAACCTCCTTAACAAAGTGAACATGATGAGACTTTAACCAATGTCTCATAGAATATTAATGTGCTAACCACTCAGCCACATGCCGTATACATAAATGTATACATACAATCACATTGAAGAAATTGACATAATTATAATGTACATAAAATTCATCCAGAGATAAAGCATAATTATTTTAATATCTTGGCATCCACCCAGGTTAGGTTGAATTGGCTCTGGCCAATGACAATGTCATCATTGCAGAATCTCAGTTTTTTCTTTTTTTTTTAAAGAAAAAAACACCTTATTTCTCAAGGAAAAGATGGGAAGTGTTTTCTTATTTCTCTCTCCATAGTTTCAATTCAGAATTTTCCGTTTTCTTCAACTTGCCCTCACAAGGCTAAAGAGATCAATCTACTTTACTATTTTATCCATAGGTGGGGAGAAGAGACAAATTGGCTGGAATTTGAAATTAGCCTGTCAATCACCCACATATCAACAGGGAAAGCATGCACATAAATGCATGCATTAATTGACAACAGCAAACACAGTGGTGAGAATTCAATTTTTGTTTAGAAATATATATATATATATATATATATATATATATATATATATATATATATATATATATATATATATATATTTAAATTTTTTTTGTTGATGGCCAGAAACTAAGAAACACATAAACAGTATATACACATAATGTAGCAATCATCAGCAAGGAAAGGGGATTGACAAGTTAAGTTCAAATCCATCTATACTCCCTCTAGATAAGAGTTAAATATTAGAGTAAACTGGTCTTAGGTAGCAGCCAATCCAGGAGAGGCACATCTCTGAATTCAAAACCATCAGAAAGGTAACAGGAAACCATTCTACTAACTTTCCCAAGAAGTCATGACACTTCAAAGGTAATAAAGAAAAAGATTTCATGGAGAGCCACGATCACCTGCATTGTAAAGGATCAAGGCATTAAAAAAATTTGTTACTATTTTACTTAAAGATATAATAACAGATTTTGTATTTTTATTGGAGAAGAGAAAAAAATAATCAGGTAATCTTTTGAAAGTCTATTATTAAGGTTATTAGACTGATGCCCAAGTGGCGAGAAAAATATTTGGGCAATCTTAAAAGTATTTTTTATGTTTATTTAGCTCTTTCTTGGTTGTATGAGAAAGTCCTGAACAATTCTTGACCTGACCAAGAAGTTCTTCAAAAAGTAGAAAAATGTTTGGTAAGTTTGTTTTTTTTGTTTTTTTTTTTTAACCAAATTCACTGCAAGTCTTGGGAAAACTTCAGAACTGACAGATATAAACATTGGTTAGCATTGAAACACTTTGTTTTTCTCTTCTTGTTCAATGCAGGAAAAGACATGTTTGGAAAACAGAGTTATTGATAACAAAAAATGAATATATTACATGAATTCAAAATTACAAAAAATTATGGTTAGATCAATGACTGCCTTCTATATCTTAAACTAAACAAAATTTACTGCAAGGAAAAAGTACACCCCTGTGTTTAGTGAGATTCATAGGAAAGGAATTCTTTTCCCCAATTTTTTTTTTTTTTAAGCATTTCACCCCAAGCAAGGCAGGAGTGCCACTAGCACACAAGGGGTTACAGAGAATGAGAGCAAGTGTAAAAAGGGGTTTTTGAGGAAAGGGTAAAAGGAAGGACAAGGAACAAGATCAAGGCATCAGAAGATGTCAATTGACATTACATTTGAATATTTGAAGATTATACCTATCAGGGAAGCAAGTAAGAGGAAGGGAGTTCCACAGATGTGAAGTACAAGATAAGAAGCTGTTTGAGTAGAACAGATGGCTATATTTAACTATTTTGATAGTGAAGGGTTGGGACCAAAATGCTAACCAAGTAGCACACTTAAATTCATGCAGTTTGGGAACAAGTGAAAGTTGCCCATGGAGCAGTTGCTTTGAAAATATTTGTAGAAAAGACAGAGGGAAGCCACGGCACATCTGTGACAAAATGACTCTAGATGAGATGCCAGATCAGGACCCATCACATTGCATATCCATCTCTAGATTTAAAATTACAGGAAGCTGTAAAAATTGTTATTGCACAATATTACAGTAGGCAATTGGCTTGTTTGAATGATACATTGGAATAGAAAATACCTTTTTTCTGGGTAAGGGATTTGACTAATAATTTTATTGCATGATGTCTGCTATCAATTTGCAAAATACAACACAACAAACACTCCAAAATGGAAAGTTTTTCTCCTGTAGCATATTGTCCAAACATGTCTCCTTCAGGCAACAGTTGCTGTTTGGACAGTAATTCCAAAATCAAGCCATGAAAGAATTCATAAAAATCTGAATTTTTCTTTATGATATAAATCACAGTTTAACTGAAAATTGGCATGAGCTTATTGAAAGCTGTAAAAATAGTTAAATGACTGAATTAGGATATGCTATAAATTCACATGATTTTCTCAAAAAATACTCAAAACATTTGTATCAACTTCAGAGAAATAAGTTTGTCCAATCAAAAAATATGAAAAACATGAAACAAAGCAAATATATTATCTTAGTGGACAATTCTTCAATAAAAAGGTTATAAATAGCCTATATTAAAGCAGTGTGTTTTGAGAGCCACTAACTTTGTCTACGCAGTAGCCATATTGATAGGGGGCAACATCTTGTTTTGGGAGGAACCATTTTTAAATGGTTGAGTTGAATGAATTTTACTGCCATCAACACAATACTTAGCTAATATAGGCTTATCATACATCTCAGTTTGACTGGAACTATCTTTGAGGGTTCAGTTAGTGTCCTTCCAGTGGTATAAGCTATCAGTATTCACTTTTATGGTATGTCTGTCCTGAAGCTTAAAGGGCGTTGGGTTACATAAACACCATAATTATGAAAGAACTTATAATAAAAACTGAAAACTCATGGTTTGAGGCTTGGAATTTATGATACACCTAAGCTAACAAAAGCAAGACTCAAAGCACAGCAACATGGACTCTACATCAATAAATCCACTGTTAATTAGGTTGTTCACTTTGTTCAACAAAAATTCAAACAACAAAAACAATTACAGAAAATGTAGGAAAAAAACAAAGGAAAGAAAAAACAAAAAATAGAATAAAAGCCTGACATTCAACAAAAATTGTAGATGGAATAAATAACTAAATAAAATTTCATTAAGTGTTTAAATTGGTTAAAATTAGTTCAAGTTCAGTATAAAATAGTTAACAATTACTCTTAAGGAATGTGTTACTGCTCTATTAAACAACATAGCAATTAAGAGCAATTAGTCTATTTCAAAATACCATGTTGCTTCCCTTCAATTAAATCTTTTTACAAAATCTACTTTTTGATTAAACTTTTTTTTAAACTGCCAAATAAAGAACAAATTCTCCAATTTTGGACAATCCTTAACAGTTCTTCAAGATTAATTACTTTGATATTTTTGTAAAGCAATCAATATTTAAAAAGCAAATTAAAAGATGAAAATTAAGTTTCAAACTTTGTTTAGATAACTGGACACAATTGCATTGTTTATGTTGTTATCACAATGTTTGGATGATCCCTTCTACAGCCTTCTTCAGGTGTATAATGTGTATGGATAAAAGAATGGACTGACTCTTTTCTTTTTATGACCCAAACTGGCCACTAATAGAAAAAGACAAATTGGTTAGACATTTTTTTTCTTTAGTGGCATATCACTCTCTACAGTTATTTTAATACCAAAATCTAAATGTTTTGTACACAATTTTATTTTTTTATTTTGGCGATACTAATGGTTTTAGTGATACAAGTCTTACTAATTAACCCATAGTTGGGAGATTTACACCTTTCCAACAGTATTTGCATGTAAGTGAATATAATGAACCTAACTCTACTCTTTAATTTTCCAATTCCGAGCTGTTATCTATAACACCACTTGCACATTCAAGCTTACACTACCTGGTATTCCCAAGTGGTCACCCATTTAGGTACTGACCTAGGTGGATGTTGCTTAACTTCAGTGATCATAGGGGAACCAATATTTCAACGTGATGTGACTGTATGCAAAAAAACATTAACAACACCTGTTATTTTGAGATAAAGTATCAGGGATTACAAAATTGGTATCTTTTGTTTCAAATAAAAATTCAGCTGCTCCCTTCTACATCATTCTCTGGATGTATGTGTTATCTAGTGAATACCAGTGCTTTAGCAAATACTCTTTTTACTTTCTCCTAAACAAAAACAAAAAAAACCCCAAAAAAACAAAACATACAGGGTGTTTTTTTGCAAAATTTCATCATATATTCATTTTGTTTACAAACACAAATTGTGGGATGCTGGAAAATTCTCAACCTGATCAAGAATGGATTCCCTCCAAAATTCTGACATTTGACCATTTAGTTAGTTCTTGTTCCATTATGTCCAGGAATATCTCCTCTTGTTCTTTTATTTTAGTACTTCTCACTTATTGCTAGTCCTATTGCTATGGAGTCTGAGTTTGTACTACCCAGACCATAGAGTGAACTTGCAATTATTATGCTATTCACAAATCAATACATCAACCCACTAGTCCATCATCCTGAACCACTTACCTCTCTACAGGTGTTGCAATTGATCTATATATTCTAAGCCTTGCTAACATACCTTATTTATGTTTGTTTTTCAAATTCTGACATTTATTGATCACAAATGTTGATTTAAATTCTACTTACCAAAATAATATTTGAAATAAGTTCTATTACATTTCAAAAGCTTTTTTCTTTTATTTTGAGCATAAGAATATGGGTGGCTCTCATCTCCATCACAGTATAGATCCATCAACCACCTCAGTGTCATCAGCAAACATTTTGAAACTATAATCAACAAGGTTGTTCATCTTTAGCAACAAACAGTATAGGTTTTGTTCAGCTAATTCCACTGCTGAAATCCTAACTACTTTTATTCACAGAATCAGGTACAAGGCAACAAATACATTTCGGGGAAATTACATTATATATTTCAAAGACCTTTGAAAAGTTGTGGCATAAAGGGTTACTGCACAAGCTCTCTAGGTATGGAATTACTAGAAGAGTCTTCTCAATTATCAATTATAAAGTCCTTAATGAATAGGTTCCTGAAGGTAGTTGTTAGTAGTCAGTCCTCTGAGGCCCAAGTGATCAATGCAGGCATCTCTCAAGGTTCGCACCTCAGTTCAACCCTCTTTCTACTTTACATAAATGATCTGCCGAAGAGTATACTCCAATCATCTGTGAATATCTATGCTGATGATACAACGGTATATATGGGTGCACCTCTAAAACTCTAGATGATGAGAGATTGGTAGCTGATCTCTCTTCTGATCTAGCTCTAACAGCTCAGTGAGCTGGTCACATTCAATGCCTCAAAAACCAAACTTGGACCCAGAATTTTCACCAATCATGAAGAACAGGTGTTGCCTCAAGGGGGGCTTGAGTGCGGCCACTGAAATGTTTTCAAATTTGAAAAAAATAAAATAATGAACGAATTTCAGTCTTTAAAATTTAATGAATTGAAACATGATGTTTAATTTCTTTACTTTACAAAACATTCAGCAACAACATTTTTTTTTCTTATTGGTTATTTTTTAAAAATTAATATGAAATAAAGTTCTGTACAAAATCCAATTCTGTTTATTTCTTTTATAAATGTATTATTTGCAGGCATCTCTCAAGGTTCGCTCCTCAGTTCAACCCTCTTTCTACTTTACATAAATGATCTGCTGAAGAGTATACTTTTATAAATGTATTATTAAAAAGTTTTCTAAAACCATTTTTTTCTTACAATTATTTATTACATTATGATTCCTGCCTGTTTCGATGCATGGACTACTTTTGTGACGTCACATCACTATTGAACAGGCCTTTTCTTTTCGGTGGCCATGCCCTGAGTACCTATTAGAACTTAAACTCAAACCAGACCTCAAGTGGAACTCATACATACAAAATCCATTGCTAAAGATGCTGAAAAACTGGTCAGTTCTATGTATAATTCCAGTAAGTACCTGGTTTCTCCCACTATCCTCTATTTTTACAAGAGCCAGATCAGGCCGAAAATGGAGTACTGCTGCCATATGTGGGCAGTAGCTGCCCACTCTTCATTTTCCAGCCTCAACTAAGTCCAAAAGTATTTTCATACCCTTGTGGATGACAAATTATTTTCCAACTTGCAATCCTTTTCTCACAGATAAAATTTTGCAAGCCTCTTGCTGCTCTTTCGTTATTTTCATGGAAAGTGTTCAGATGAACTACATTCCTTGGTTTCACCAGTTCTAACCTTCACAGCTAAGACTGGCCCTGCCACACACATTGCAGCGAACCACCCTCATTCCCTTCATATTCCATTAGTGAGATGTAAGTTCCACTAAATCAGCTTCTCATGAATTGCTACTTTGTGGAATTTACTCCCAAGAGGATGCTTTCCCAATCACTAGAATCTTAACCTGTTCAAGTCTAGGTTCAACTGTTATTTTCCCCACATATTCCCATAAACTGTGCCTTTTACTCTGTAACCTTCTACCTTGAAGAACTTTTAGGCTTTGTACAGGGTGAACATATTTATAAAAAAAAGAAAAAAAAAGAAGAAAAACAAGAAAAAAAAAAGATAAATTGTCCTATCCAAAATGAAGATTCAGAATATGCACCTTGTTCAAGAAATTTACATGTGATGCAAGGCAGATAAATCAGTATTTGGCATACATCGTTTTTGAAACGCTGAAATGGACTATTCACAGAATAAGCTACGTACCATTTCAAGTGATATTCTGATCAGGTATTTATGTGGATTTTTATTTTTTAGGAACACGACTAGAACGACAGCGTCTTTTATTTTTTACATTATTAAACGACTGAACTGCAACAGTCATTAATTTTTTGTTTTGTTTGTGTGTATGAATCCGTAACGACTTCCATCAAATACAGCACATGACTCATAGTCGGATTTTACAGTGAGTCATCCAGAAATTACCCGGTTCACTCAACCTTTGCTACAGACATGAAGGCATAACCCGGCCCTACAGCTAATTATGCAATGGGGAGGTGTTGCACTAAAAATGTGACCGTCATTATATTGATAACTTTTCAGTTGAATCATTGTTTGTTTTTTTTTTTTTGCGTATGACAGGCCGACGAAAATTTATCATTACTTTCTCATTTTGGTAAAATTGCAGATTAGGACACAGAAACCAATTAAATAACATAAACATTTTGACTTTTTAAAACTTTATTTTTGTTAAGTTTGGGCCTTGGGGCCTTTTTCACCGTAAAAGTGGAGGTACATAAAAAAAGAAAAAAAGAAGTCAAAATGTATATGTTAGGTCAGGAGGAAAGACCAAATGTCGGCCGGGCTGTAGCCGAAACACACACACAAAAAAAGGTTGTCGATATCTCTTACGGTTGTTTTCCGCAAATTTTTAATGCTGTTTTTGGAATATTCAGGCTTTTTTTTTTTTAACACCCGAAATGATGCTTCTTTGTTAAATTGGCTTCTGGGTTTTAATCTGCAATTTTACACACATTTTTTAGTCAATAGAAACAATTGTAGCCTTGACTAAAAACTTTCCATCCGAATGTAAAAAGTTACAGAGCTCAAAAGAAAAGTGGGTATAAAAAAAGTCTTATAACTCGATACTTAGGCTAAAAATACATCGATAGATGCATAAACAATAACAAAACAACATACATTCATTTTTCATCCATTAGAATTGTAATTAATAAATTATTATTCTTAGTAAAAATTAGTCTTTGTTTTGATTTTTAAGTCGGCTGATTCTTTCGAAGTCGTATGACATGCATTCCAAATCACCGATTTCTTCAACTTTTTGTGTTTTTTTTTGTTTCATCTGCTCTCAATCGATTTCTACTGATATATAGATGAACAGGCAGAATACGAATCTGTTGTAGCTGATTTAACTACCTTCGTTTTTTTTTCTTACACATGCACATACGTACACAAAATACGAAAGGAATTGACTGCTTCAATCATACTATATACATTGGCTACAATACATGTGAATTCATTCTTTTCAAAATATATACATTAGCGAAACCACTCCCATCACAATTTGTAAACATTTTTTACAGTAGTAAATAATTTGTACATTGTGTACAGACTGTAAATTTACAACTATCGGTTGAGTGAGTCAAAGGTCACCTCGCCCGAAGAAAAAACAAGCAAACTAAATTCATTAATTTTAGGTTGTTTCCACACACAATGACTGGGTGCGTCTAAGCATATATATATATATATAATGTGATGTGTGTGTGTTAATGATTTGATCAGTTGACTCAATTCTTTCTCGTACTGTAAAAAGTACAAATTTTACCAATATTTCTTGATTATTAAAATAACATTAGTTATTTTTCTGTAAACAATAACACTGATACAAAAGAAATAACAGAATAAACAAAACAAAACAAAAAATCTTTTTTTACCGTTCGAAGTCTGATAATAATTCAAAGGTGAAAATGTACATTTCTTGGTCGGTGTAACATGAAAATAGAGTTACTTCCCTTGCCATAGAAAACTTGTTCGGATAATTGTTTTTTTTTTTTTTTATTTGTTAAACAATCATTCTTAAAAATAAATAAATGAGATTTTTTTAGATACTAATTTTTTAACAGTATAATTTTATATTTTAATGAATAATTTAATTTAAATCTATCTTAAAAAATAAATTTACCACAACTTAAAATAAGTAGTATTGCACTAAAAATATTTTCTTCTACAGACCGAGTTGATACCAAACTTTGAATTGAATTGTATCGTTAAGTACGAGTAGGTCAGATCTATCTATTCATCCATCTTTATTTTATTATTGACAGATAAATATCTTATGTTTATTTGTCTAATTTATCTCAATGTCTTGCTATCTTCTCGGTACCAACGGATACACGGAGATATTCCATTCTTGTGGAATTGTTTTCTTTATAATTTCTAAATAATCATTTTGAATTTGATTTGACATTTATCTACTCAACATTAGTAAACCAGTTCACTTTAATGTGTGAATTAAGTCAAGGCTCAATGCAAATTGCAAAATAAT